AAGGCCCGTAGGCCACGCTGGGAGCGGAGGGGCGGCTCTGGCACCGGCACCGGCACCGGCCCCGGCCCCGGCCCCTTCCCACAGCCGGAGCGAGACCGAGACTGCTGTGGGAAAGCAGGGGAGCAAACGCTGCGGGGATGGCATGATCCTCGGAGCGCTCTGAGAGGGAAAGTCTGACTTAAAAACTCATGTTTGAATTCGTTACAAGTTGCGTGGCGGACTCGCGCCACGCCATAACCCGGGGTGCGTATTTGATTTCCCTGCAGCCTGAGGGCAGAGATAAGGAACCCCCCTCCAGCACCTGCCCTGGGGACAGGAGGAGGACGAGGAAGAGCCAGCGATGGCGACAGCCTTCCTCCCGAGGTGGATGCAGCATCGTCGCTGCTTGCTGGAGCTCACAGTTGCATCGGGCCAGGCTCAAGCTGTTTTGTGGAACAAAACAGGGTTTCGTGCTGGGTTCTAGCCCAGCAGTCTTTATTAGGAGCAAAGTATAGAAATCTGGAGACAGCCAGGTTAGAAAACGCTGCTTGAAAAGCCCAGAACAATTTAAGCTCCCTTTGCTACTCTTATCATTTGTGATCAAGAAGAATCAAATCAAAAAACCATTAACCTGGCACTGAAAATGAGCGTGGTCCCACTTTGCACAGATGGGCTGCAGCCTCACCTCCAGCAATTACCAAAGCTACAAATGATAATTTACAGATCTCAATCCCCAACTTTTACATTTATTAACAGACTTAAAATGTATATTTCACAAACAGGGAAATGAGCACATCACATAGCTCTGTACTCTTCACAACAGTCACGGCAAATTATCAAACTCTTTGTTACACAACCTCCCTTCAGGGATACAGCTTCAAACCAATGCACTACAGCTCAAATGTCCCAGTCTTTGTATGAAATAGCTCCAAACACTGCAACTTTTCATGGTGATTCAGCCCAAAGGTAGTTAGTGGAGATGTATATGCTTAGAAAACTGTTTTACCTCACTTTTGGTCCTTCGCTGTTTGCAGGTCACATGAGGTCTTGTAAACACAGGCTTGGCACAGGTTTGTTTTACACACAGGCTGTGCTTATTTTATCTGTGTGTCCTTTTTTTATATCTTTGTTTATCTGAAAGAGTCAGCCCCAGGGAACAAGTGTTCCTGACCTTCTACCTTGCCATCACACCTCTTCCTCCTTCTGTTTCATAAGGAAAATAGGCTGCTTTTGCTATACCAGCTTATGCACTTCGTGCCTCACCACTTCAGGGGTTTAAGGCATTTTATAAATACAAGTAACCTAAGCTTCCTCATCCCTCACCTTCCTGACAGATAGCAAAGCAAGAGGCATAGAGGACTAGGGAGTGTGCGCAGTGTCATGCAGTAAGTCAGAAAGAACATGCAGGAGAATTCTTTGCAAGTGCTGCAGCTCTAAAAAAGGTTTTTCATCCATTTGAAAAATCCATGAACCTACTGGAGATTGTCATCTGAGATACTTCGGCAGACCTAGGAGGGAAGGCACTTCTGGTTGGGGCATGGAGTCACTATTTATTCAGTGCAATGACCAGAACCACTTTATCTGCAGCATATTTAAAAAGCAGGGAAAATACTTTTTAAAAAGCCCCTTACGGAGAAGGTTCCTGGCTGGAGACATTTGCTCCAAAAAGAAAAACACATTCCTGTGGTTTACCTCTAGGCTAGCTCTTATCAGGGTCTTCACCTATCACCATGCTGCTTCTCCCGGCTGCAGTCAGAGCTAAAACGCTTTGTAGGTGGAAAACGGTTTAGAGCTATCTCTGGCTGCTCTCACAGCCAAACATCTGCTCACCCAAACAGCATTCCAGGCATGCGTTACACCTCCCAGCTTCACAGCAATGCACAGGGACAGCAGGGAAGAACAGGGAAAACTATTTCTCAGGCATTTACATTTGGTTTTAATAGTCAGGGAGCCTTTTGGATGCATGGGTGGCATCCACACGTTTGCCCTGGGGAAAAAATGCAGCTTGGGCTCCATGCTGACATCTTCTGGGAGGAGAAGACCGCTGGGAAAATGAGGTTTTCCTCTTGGACTCTGTTAACACCCTACTTGTCTTAAACTGAAGCTAACAGCTAGACCACACAGTACAGAGGAAAGACATGCGGTAGGGGTATGGAAAAAGTAATCTACAACATATAAGGTCCCTCTCCCCGCTGCTAGCCTTCCCTCTGCTTTTCAGCACCACAACACAGAAGCTAAAATACATTTTAAGGCACATTCCCTTGCATCTGCTTCCCCAGCTTCCATCAGTCTTGAAATTGCAATTCCTTGAGGCCATGGAGAGTCCTGCTCCCCCGGCGACTTCTATTTAGTCTTAGGCTGGGTCCCCAAGTGCGCGAGTGACTGCTGCTTTTGCTGACTGCTGGCACCATGTGCAGGCCCTGCAAGTGAGGGAAGGTGAAGTACTCGGTCAAGTTTCTCATGCTTCGATTTGAGTCTCATTACCACTCAAAATGGGGAAGAGACAGATTGCCACGGGCTGCGGAAGGGTGGGTTTGGCAAAGGCGCTAGGATCTGCACAATGCTACTTTAAGAAAATCCCAAGGTGACACTTCCAGTGGAATCAGTATGTTGTCAGATGGATGACTCAAATTAAACTTTGCACTTTACATATGGATTAGACTAGGATTATGAACACCTCTGAAAATGTTATTTTCTCTTCCTAAGAGGTTATTTTCGGCTGAGAGGGAGATGGAGTGTAACTCATTCTGGAACATTGCCCATGTCATGTGTTGCCAAAAAAAAAAAAAAAAAAGGCTTAAAGCTTGGATGTAAAACCCCTACACATGTGACTGCTTTCCCAACTGGACCATTGTTGTTGCATTTACAGCTCTTTAGGTTCAGATTGCAACAGAGCAAGTGCTGAAGAATGTAGTAGTGCCCCTGGAGCCAGCCAACCTGATATTTCATGTACTCACCCTTGACTTGCTTCTGTAGGACCCGTCCTTTGATGCGATCAGTGTTGCTCTGTGGGACGGTGCTTGCAGGAGCATTGTCTTTTGGCAGGACCTCTAGTGGAGTCCCCTCTGTCAAAGGGAGGGAGAGCTTCATTATAAACAGTGGAGCAGAGCATGGCTGAAAACCATTTTGCAATGCATGAGTTGCTAATAGCTAGGCAAAATAAACGATAGCATTGGAAATCAAAAGTTAACCATTTTTAGTTAAAAAAAAAAAACTAATTAGCATCAGTAAGCACCTCTTGCCAGAATGGGGAAGGATTCTGGCTACATTTTGATAGGATTTGGGTATCCAGTTCCCCTAACCTCATCCTGGCCTTGTGTGTCTGCACAAAGCAAAACAACTGAAGCTGACACACGGTCTCTGCAGCCTGTCATGTCTTGGCCTCCTTGCTGAGGCTTGGTTTGGATGTGAAACTGCCTGAATGACTAGACTTTGTTGCATGTGAACCCAGCTGAACACTAATTCTTCCCCCCAGATTACTGAGGCGTAGTTGAGGCAGTGGTCAAAGGCCATGCTTCCTTACCCACCAAAAGCTACTTGGGCCATATTAAAAAATAAGATCAGATTACTAATGGTTGTGACCATTAGCCTTTACTCTGGCTTATTTCTCACATGACAATCCATCTCTTCCAACAGAGCTGATGCAGGATGTCACCAGCAGCTCTTTGGCCCCCACCTGAATGGTGGCTGGTAGGAACCTTGACCTTTGCAGCAATGGGTATGCTACTCGCAGCTTTTGACTGATGGAAGAGTCTAGGTCGGTGCAGGTCGTTCTCACAAGCTTTGTCTCTACAGGGGCTTGAGGGAGTCCAGTGCTTAGCTTTCGAGTTCTGAAAGACAGCAAGTTGAGTTAACCTCAGTGGTGAAGTTCTCACCTCTGACTGTTGCCACATTGTACCAAAAAGATTCCCTTCACACCTGACTGGCTTAGCTTGCTGTTTAGGCAGGAGGTCAAGGGCATTATAGAAGAACAAAGATATTTAACTTATTCCCTCGTGCAGTCTGTACTATGTTTCTCTTACCATATTTAAAAACCTCCCTAGCTCCACTGGGTCTATGCCTTCTGCTCAACCCATTCCCATTAGAAAGTACTCCTGTCCTGCGGAAGTTTGGCTCGAGAGAGTGAGACCTTTTCTTTCTGGCTGTCCTCTCAGAAGACATCTTCTGTTCTCTCCTGTTCTTCAGCACTCCCGTGGCTGGGGAGCACAGCTGGCTCCCAGCTGTGGGCTCTGACAGCAGACTCCCAATATTTGCACTGTCTCTCCTCTGACAATCTGGGGTGGAATTGGCCTCTAGATACTTCAGCTTAAGCATATCCTCCTCAGAGGAGCGGCCTGAGGAGATTTCGCTCCCAAGGTCTCTGTGTTGGGCTCTGGAACGGCGACTGGCTGCAACGAGAGAGAAGCTTTTGGTGTTGGCAGCAATTTCCTTCAAGGTCTCCAGACTCAGTGGAACAGCAGCAAAGTCTGCAAGTGCCTTTTTCCCATGCAAGTCTAGAGAGGTGGGGGAACGCAGCCTGGGAGTCATCTTTCCTGCAGCAACACCTGTTGGTTTCTGCTAAAAAAATTGCGGCATAATCTGCTTTTCATTCACAGCTTTCCCCTTCAAAGCATTTTCAAACATGTGGAAGACATTAAATTCCACCTGAAATATTGTTACAACAGCTTTTATGTATAGAGAAATAAAGGCGAAGCTTTTCCTTTGTGTTTCTCCCTTATAGATAGAGCCATGGCTACAAAATGAGACAGTGACCAAGAGATTGATGCGCTCCTAACTCTCCCTTCTGTTCCAGGGTGCTGAGTGAAATCGGTCTCGCCAGATAGTCGTCAAATCAGGGCCCAGCAGATCAGTTAACGGCGTAAGCGATCATCCTGCACGACACAGGTCCCCTCACACCAGAGCACGCATTGTATGGTGCATTCCTATTTACAACGCCTGTCACGCTGCTGGACACACTAGAGACTGCATGGCTCACCCAGAAGGAGAGCCCAAATTGGAGGTGACAGCTAGGCCTTGGACTCTTAAGTGAATCCCAGGCCTTAAAAGCCAAGGCCAGTGCTCTAGGAGCGATTTTATTGCCTGCCAAGGTTTACCTTCCTCACATGCAACAGATTTAGCTGCTGTGCACGTTCTGCCGTTACCAGAGAAGGTGCTAACCACAACAAACATGCCTTGAATTCGGTTGCTGCCATACT